GGCTTGAATCAATAGTAAATAAAGTTAACACAGTCATGTTCTTCAAGAGCACACTAGCAAATTAAGGCCCCTGGGTCAATGGTGCCCACCACCGATTATGGCAACAAAGTTTTCCTGGAAACATGGCCACTATTCATTTACATATTGTCTTTGGCTGCTCTCATGCTGCAATAGCTGAACTGAATAGTTGCCAAGAGACAGGCAAAGCCAGAAATATTTTCTATTTTATCCTTACACTAAAACAGTACTGCACCCTATCTAAAATAATTTAATAATCCCTGGGCATGTGTGTTCAACAATATGCCAGTATGACATGGAAAGGTCGGGGCCTCTTCCCCAGCCTTATTTTCAAGTAAGTTGATATCTTCTGCATCTAAATCTTAATAATGGAAGCTTTTTCAGCCTGATAAAACCAAGAATACATTCTCACTCAAATACTGGTACTTACTGAAGTCAAAAGATCCTGACACAATTGGAGTGAGCTGGGCCTCCAAGGAATGTGTAAGGGGAGGGACAGGATTTACTTTGCTTACTTTATTTGTGCCACAGTGTGCTAAATGCTTGCATGCATCATTTTATTAAATCTTCTAATAGCTCCATTATGAAGGTACTATTATTGAAAGTAGACAGCTTCATCAAAGATTCATTCGCTAAATGTCCAATTTGTAAAATTTGCTGAACAAACTACCTACCAAATGATTGGAGGATGTTTTCAAATTTGAGTTTTTTATTGAGGTTCCTGCACAGTTGCACAGACACAGGCCATTCCATCTATGTCAAGGGGTATGGACTGCCGACTCACACGTTTCATACCCCACCCTGAACTCACATCTGCCCCAACCTTGCACCTGGATCTCCCTCTTGCAGCAAAACTGCTGCCCTCAGTTATAGTATTTGCAACTTCTCTATGAAGCTCAAGTTTTAGATTTCAGACTTCTGTTTATTGTTTCCATTTCTAAATGCCTTTGGCCTATGAATTTATAAAGAAATGATTATCTAAGGATGATTCAGGACTATATTTGGGGCTGTGATATATTCTACTAACCACATACTTTCAGTAAATTTGACAAATACTAAGCCAAGCTAGAAGTCAATAAACTCTCCAGGTTCCTCTCATTCTTAATTCTGAAATGGGATGGACTGTGATATGGTTTGGCTGTGTCCCCCACCAAAATTCACCTTTTAATTGTACTCTCCCATAATTCCTGTATGTGTTGTGGGAGGAACCCAGTGAAGATAATTGAATCATAGGGGCAGTTTCCCATACTGTTCTTGTAATGAATAAGTCTCACAAGATCTGATGGCTTTATAAGGAAAACCCCCTTTGGTTCTCATTCTTTCTGCCACCACCATGTAAGATGGTCTTTCACTCTCCACCATGCTCGTAAGCCTCCCGCCACGTGGACCTGTGAGTCCACAAGGTTTTTCTTTATAAATGACCTTAGTCTTGGGTATGTCTTTATCAGCAGTGTGAAAACAGACTAATACAGACTGGTTGGAAGAATTGGAGGAGCAGGGAGTCTACTTCCAGCCAGGGTCCAAAACCGGAGGATTTAAGTAGAGGAGATGGTCATCACCTTCCACTCACCACAAAAGAGAAGAAATCCTTTAGAGGTCCCACGAAACAGTCCAAATACTGGCTTTTCCCTGTGTTAAGGAAGCCAAAGATGTACTCAAGAATCTTGAGCCCTGTAGTCAAACTAGTTCCTTCTAGTTCCTTTTCTTTTCCTCAGTGAGCCTGCTAATTTTAATGCATGCTTTAAGTCTTTGGGTTGCTCTGAACTGAGCTACCCACAGCTATAAACATCATAGGATGTCTTCTGGCAAGTCGCGGGAGATTTGTTACCTTTGCTGGTTGCTAACCAGCAGCTCATGATGGTCCCTGTTCTCAGCCAGGGATGGGAGGCTGTGGGAGGAAGTCACCTCAACAGAACAAAGATTAGAGATCCTGTCACTGCCAACGGTGTCCAAACCTGAGAACTTCCTCACCAACATCCTTCAGCTCTAACTTGAAGATATCCTGGGCACCCCACAAAGAAGGGGCCGACAGTGACAATACGCTGTTTGATGATACAATGGAGCAAAAACCCATTAGGTAATTTCTCATGGGTTGTATCTGGAGTAATGACTGATGTGAGTTATACACAACAAGGAAGTGAAAAGACTTTTTGTGCAGTTATAAATCATTTTAATTAGGCTGCTGTAATACAGTCCCGAACCACCATTAGCCTTCTTATTGCTCTAAACTGATTTCTTTTCCCAATTCTCTCAGCTTACAGCTTACTTTGCTGGAAATGGTAGACTGTTGCTTATTTCCGAGGCTGATGACACTTGTGAAATCAAGCCAGCCTCGTTGACTCAGTTCCTGTTTTGTTTCTTTCAGGCTTTCTGTTTAACTAACTTCAAAAATGAATTATTATTTCCACATCTGCCTCTCTGGGTCTTTGTTTCCCTGCTGCAGAATTCATATTTTTCCTTGTGACTGGCTTATTTGCATTTATTGGTTTCTCCCACTGATTAGGACCTGGGGTTATAGACTATGGCCCATGGGCTTCAGAACCTTGGCCCCGCTTGCCTGTTTTTTTATGACCTACAAACTAAGAATGGCTTTTACATTTTATGGTTAAAAGAAGACAACATTTTATGACATATGATATTACATAGAATTCAAACTTTTAATTTCTATAAAGTTTTATTGGAAAACAGGCTAACTCATTTGTTTGTATATTATTTGTGGTTGCTTTAAATGGCAATGTTGCCTGCCTACTCTGATGGTAGTTTCTTTGCTGTGCAGAAGCTCTTTAGTTTGATGAGATCCCATTCGGCTTCACCTGGCTTCTTTGCCGCCGCTGTTTTTTGTTGCTTTTTTAGACAGAATGAGAGAAAATTTGCAATCTATCATCTGATAAAGGGCTAATATTCAGAACTCCACAAAGAACCAACAAATTTACAAGAAAAACAAACAACCCCATCCAAAAAGCAAGTAAAGGATATGAACAGACATTTTTCTTTTCAAAGAAGACATTTCATATATAGCCAACAGACACATGAGCCGTCATCACTGGCCATCAGAGAAATGCAAATCGTACCACAATGAGATACTCATCTCACACCAGTTGGGAATGGCGACGTCAGGAAATACCAGTGCTGAGAGGATGTGGAGAATAGGGGAATACTTTGCCACTGTTGGTGGGATTAAATCAGTTCAATAATATGGAAAATAGGTAGACATTCCTCAGTGATCTAGAACTGATAACATAAAGTATTTAGTATTACGCATTATTGGTATATACTCAAAGGATTATAATTATGCCGTTATAGCGAAATATTACGCACACGCATATTTATTGCAAGCACTATTCACACAGCAAAGACTTGAATCACCAGTCAGTCCATCAGCGACAGATTGGATTAAGAGCGTGGCTGGCCATACACCATGGGAATACTATGCAGCCAGTAAAAGATGAGTTTGTGTCCTTGTGGTGGGACATGGATGCAGCTGGAACTACCATTCTTAAGCAAATCATCACAAGAACAGAAAACCAAACAGTCGCGATGTTCTCCACTGCAGGCGGGAACTGAACAACATCATTTGGAGCTGAAGGGGAACATCACACACCGGCCTAACATGGGGGAGGAGGGGAGGGATTGCATTGGAGTTATACCTGATAAATGACGGAAGCTGATGGGTGCACACCAACATGGCACAGCACATATAAAAACCTGCACGCCAGCACATGCACCTAAACCCAGTTTGGGACAACAATAAATAAATTCAAAAATAAAATATCTATCTATCTATCTATCTATCTATCTATCTATCTATCTATCTATCTATCTAAGGAAAAGTGACCCATGAGAGAAGTGATATTAAAATAAACAGTATCCATACTTCCAAAATATGGATAACAAAAATTGGTCTCCGACTTTTGGATTACTGTTTCATATCCCATGATAACGTTGCTTTTTACTTTACACTTTTGTATCCAAAGGCATGGTTCCAAGTGGAAAATATAATACAATGGCTTAAATTCTACAAATGAATGAACATGTGCTCTAGGTTATTCTTTGGCTTTCAGATGTTTAGATATCATTTTACTGTTTAAGTGTATCAGATTCACAATGGGATCCTGTCAAATGTTTTCAGTAGTTTTTAAAAGCTCCAAAAATGAAATGGACAGTGGAAGAAAGTCCATTTGAATTTAATGGGTTAGAAACGGATCTCTTGCCAGTTGCCATGAACTAATAGGGCTCATAACCTAAGAAAGATTGGCACAAATAAAACATGGAACAAAGTCCTCCATAAGAATGGGTCATTATGCCACGGAAATGTACCATATTAACACAACTTAAATGTAGCGCTATTTGATGACATGGGGACCCAAATTCAAGGGCTAACTCAATTTGTCCCATTTTACCAAGGAACGTGTAGAGCACGTGGTTTTGTCTGTGTTAGGTCTGTCCCTATTGCTGTCCCCACATACTGGTCATTCTTAATTCAGGTGTGTAAGTCCTTGCTCTGTGTGTGTAAACCAGAGTAAGATGCCATAATCTGTGCAATAGAAAAATGTTTGTCCCAAATTGCTGCTCAACTTGAAGAAAGCTGTTTTAAGAGAATTAAAAGACCCCAGAAAATAAGCTAGAGCTTTGGAAATACTGCTCTTGCAGTCAGCACTGATGTGGAATAATTACTTTAATGCTTTATCAGCTCCAGTATCAATTCATAGCATCATATAATATAGCATTTTGTATTTTTAATAGATAAATTTGCATTTTTACTCAATATCCCTTCAAAAACTTTTTAAAGATTTAAAGCTAAGAGTGAGTTACATGGAGTTTTGTTTTACTTCACTGAGAGTTTTAGGTGAAGTTCTTTATGGAATGAAATTCTCTTTCCATTCTTTTTCAGCTGATTAATGACTTAAAGCAAATGAAAAACATTTCAATTTTCATTAGTGCTAGAAAAAATGGCTATAATCCTGTTTCTTTTTCAAATGTTGTTTCTTGTTGCTTGTTAGATTATAAAATGGAAGCTGTAGACTTTCTATTTTGACTGGCCAAAAAGCTCCACATACAAAAATACAGAATATAAATGAGGTAAAAGGTCCAGGTTCCAAGGTCAAAATACTCTTTGTTATATTTAATTTCAATACAAAATCATACCACCTCTAAGCACATCGTTTGCAAACCGATGTCCCATGGATTGAATGCAGTTCACAGGCAGGTTTCATTTGATTAGCACAGTATAAGTTTTTGAGTTGTCAATATGTAAAAATTTGGAGAGAGCTTATATCAAATCCTAGGTATCTAGGACCCCCATCCCCACACAGCTCAAATTCAGTAGCTGACTACCAACTACCCTGTTTTGACAGTACCCACCCTCCCCAATTTCTCTCAGTCCCCATTGCTGCTTCTTCTCTTACTGATACAAAGGCCCTCCATGAATTGCCATTTACCACAATGACTGTGATATTACATGGCTTGCTTTATTCATTTACGTGACCTGCTAGACCCCTGAAGTCATTTGAATTTGTGGCCACGTTATGTGGTGAGGTCATTGTTATGAACACAGGGAGCACAACAGAAAAATCTAAGTGTTTCTCCAAGGCAAAATGTAAAGTTGACAGAAGAAATCTGTTCAAACATCAGCATGCTGTTGTGTATTCTCTACTACAAAGTTCTTCAAATCTTTCTGTTGGGGAACATTTTGGCAAGGCAAAGGTCCTGGAAGACCACATACAGTCTCTTTCTTTCTGCCTGAAAAAATGCCAATATTTCATCTTAGTAATAAAAGGATGTTTAAATGTCTGTTCTCGTGCTTTTTCATGTATAAATTAAATCTGTAGTGGGGAATACACTTAAACCTATTGCCTAGCTCTCTTTCTTTCTAGTACTAATCCCCACTTTATCACCAGCATATTCATGTGCTTTACTCTTGAGAAGGACACAGAGATTCCTTTGTGACCAACAACCACATTTTAAGAATCACTTTTATCTAAATCACATCAGACTCATAAAATCACACTTTACTGGCACTCCCTTAGATCCCACCTGTAATTTGATCTCAAGGGGGCTGCAATGTTATTCTCTTTCCATGCTACATCTACTATTCTTATTTTTGATTCATGCTATTAATCCACTTCTATCTTGCATTTTTAAAAACTCACTAAAATGCAAAGAATTATCTGCTATATCTCCCTGATACTAATTCCCTTAGCACTTTACTGAATAAAAAGAAGAGTGATGAAGTGAAACTACAGATATCCAAAAGAAGATGGCCAGTCAGTGGTAAAAATTTCAGTAACCACTTAGTTATGGATGCTACCAGTGAAAACAATGGGTTCCCACTCAACAGTATGGTCATCAGCTAAACATTCAGGTTTATACTAATGAATGAACAGATGCAATAAATTAGCCATCAAATAAAGATTCCTATGGAATAATCTTTTTTTTAGAAAACAAACAGAATTCTGTATTATACAAATGGGAAAGAAAGCATAAGAACAATTTTAGGTCTGAAAGGAAACTGGAGAAAACAAATGTTCCTGACAGGAAAGGAACCAGAGACTGGAATCATCATCTTTGCTGTGATGAATGTCAGCATGGTGGTATCGTCAGTAGCCAGTGCAAAAATGACAACATTTAAAGTAATGGCATTGACAGTCATAAAATGGCAATTACTGTGTGTGTGGCTTTTTTCAGGCCTCTCCCAGCATATCCAGGATGTCCATTTTCATCAGGCCAGACAGGTGCCTTGAAAGCCAGGTCATTAGCAAAGGATTTTGAGGATGTCCCTTCATGTTTTGTTTCTGTTTGAGTAAAAATCTCAAGTTGTTTGGTTTGCTCAGGGGAATGTCCCCCAGAGTTCTAAGACCTCAAACCAACCCCCAAAGAGTCATCCCCTGGGAGGAGATGGTGTGAAAGAAGGCCAAGGGTCGGGGGTGGGGACTTGTGTGTGAAAGTTGTACACCTTCTCCAGATATGGGTCTTTGTGGAAGAAGGAGAAGAAGGAGAATGAAGAAGCTCAGCTAGAATGATGCAAGACATTGGCAGCCTCTTTTATTGTCTATGAGGTCTTTTTTACTCTTCTGAATCTGAAAAAAAGAAAAAGAAAAAGAAAAGTGTCAATGCTGCCTTTCCCCCCCACCTCCACCCTCCAAGTCTGAGGAGAAGAAAATCTAGGGGACAAAAAAAATGTGAGAACCAATTAAACATTTACATACTAGTCATCGCTATGTCCCTTGTAACAAGATTTGTTCTATCCATAAGGGGAAAATCTCATTGCAAAACTGTAATATCAGTACATTTGAAATCTTAATAGTTGCTATAAACTAGATTAGCAAACATTTGGTCATGCAATAGGGATAGTAAGCCACCTTCTTTTGCAATGGAGATGACGGTTTTGTTGCCAGATCTGGTCAATCTGTCTCAAGGGTCAGTGGGATTGGAAATCAGATTCATCTAATCCCACCTGTTTTCATATCAAAAGCAATGTGCCTCTCTCAGAATTCTTGCCCCATCTTCAGAAGTTTCCCAGAGACATTTAAAGCAAGATGTATCCTAGCCCAAATCATTGTGCAGATGGGTAAATCACCTGAGTTCTCCACTGGACTCAGAGCAAGGGGGTGGAGGAAGATGACAAAGATGGAAACAGGACTAAGTTAATGAAAATAGATAATATTGCATTTTTTTCAACTGGTATGCTCTACCCCATGTAACTTCAAAGGTCTTAGGCAGAATTTAAAACAACAGCCACAACAAAACCACCATATTATTTCTTCCAATTGGGATTGCATGCTCTGCAAGTCATCATGCCTTATAGTTAGAAAGTGTTCCCTCCTATGCAGGGCTCCAGTGGGCTTGGACTTTAAGAAGGGTAACACCATTATCTACAGAGATGTTAGAAGCCTTTACAGGACAAGGAAAGTTTTCCATTCAACTTTAAAGACTAAGATACTCCCCTAAGATTTAGGTGAATTTAGCAGAAAACTCATTGGGAGATAAGAGAACTCCTTCTGATCTATTGTAATTACAGTCAATTCTCAATTTTCCAAGGGCCATTGATCCAAGCTTCCTGCTGTTCCTCTAACTTTATTATGTTCTTGATTGTTCATTGTGTTTACCCTCCATTAACACCTTCAGCTATTTGAGAGAAATAACAGACAAAAGTGAGGCTTCAGACCAATCACTTTACTCCAATACAAGCACTGATAAACTTGCCAGTGAGAGAAGGAGGTGAAACAAAAGCTGAAATCAAGGATGAGAAATTTCCCATTGATGCTGATAGTCTATGCACAGTTTGGTCCACATGGGAATTGCAATGGACTTTGACCTTAGTATTCTGACCCTGCCATTATGAAGTTGGGATCCTATGGTATGAGGCTTCTTTTAGAGAGTCATCATAATACTAACCACCTTCAGAGATGTTCCCGACCCTCAAATGTAAAGCCCAATTTTGTTAGGATGACAGAAGATTGGGTTTGATTTTTTAATAACAGACCCATTGGTTGGAAGGAAGCTAGAGACAGATAGCTGGGGACAACTGATAAGGACCACTATTTAACTCAGTGAGCCCCACCTAGCCAACAAGGAGAGTGATGCACCTCCTGCAGACTGGGTTAGCAGAGACCCACAGGCCAGACTGCGGGGTCCCAGAGATGGAAAGAGGTCTATCTAGGGTCTTAATGAAATCCAAAGGCTGTTAAAAGGAGATATTCCTCCATTTCTAATCACTGCTTATGGGTGAGATGGTGGAGTGTTCCATCTGGCTGTGGATCTCCATCCTCCCCTCCAGCTTTGGGTCAAAGGGTGAAGGGAAAGGGTGAATAAAAGAAGTTTGTGTGTTTAAGCTCTGCCTGTGTTCATTGTCATTAAATACAACCAGCAATAAAAGAACAAGAAGCATGTGTTCTATAGCTGGGTCTGTGACCTGCTGACCTGTGTGATCATTCCTGGCCTTCCCAAACATATGCCCTCTAAAAGTAACTTCCGTGTGTGAATTTCTTAAGGCACTTAAGAAATACCCTAAGGTCCTATGTCATAGCTATCTGCAAAATAATGTTCCAACCCAGACTGCTGACTCTTTGAGAACAGGGAAAATACCTGTTTATAACACTTCTTGCATGTAGTGCAATGCCTGGCACATAGTATATGCTCAACAATTTTTTTTTAATGAAAAAGAAGAGAATTGAATAAGCATAAGGCGGATGGGACTGATAAGGTTTGGTGATGAATAGGTTTCCCTCCACCTGTTTTCTAGTTTTGACTTTCACAGCATGAAACGAAAATTTAAAAGAAAATAATAAACACCCAAATTATATATTTTATTCAATAGTAAGGTATGATATATCAAAATATTTACATTCCCTACAAAGAAGCCCAATTATGGATGGCTTTCTATGGAGCTAATCTCACAGAGAAGGAACACCTGCTATCCAGGCAGCTTTGACATGGTTTGTAAATCAGGCCTGGTCCTCTTTTCACTCCACATCCTGTCTTTCATTGTGTTTTGGTTTTATGTATTTGCTTTCAATATCAACTGAAATTAAGTAAGCATCAGCAAGATTACAAAGTATATGAAAATGAGGACCCTGAAGACAAAGCGTTAATAGGTCACTCTGTGTGTAACTGGGATGCATGACTTTTTGAAGGCCACAAAAAGTAGTTAAATCCTTCCACTTTTTAAAGAGTGACTGATGAATTGAAATGGGAACTTTCTTGCCACATCTTGGAATAATTCAGGAAAATATATTTAAGTGCCTGTCCCTTTACCCAAGACTTTTTATATCTCACAAGGTAAAGCTGTGAGGACTTTAAATCCTGAAGTGCAAATACATGGTATATGAATTCATGGAAATGTATTTAGTCTATGGGAGTATACAATCATGTTTCAGCAACTTCATTTAGAAAATTGGGAGATGGACTTAAAACAATGTGGCCTTATTTATGGTACCATGCTACTCCCACAGGTAAGTGCAGATGCTGGATATAGGTCTTAAAACCATGTGATTTAAAGATAATTGGTTTTAGAAGAAGATTGAAGTTCAAGTTAATGTGACTTGATTCTAAAAATGTGTTTATCCATTATAATGTTTATTCCTGGATCACAAATGGAGTGTCAATGAGGCAGCCCTCATTATAATTTGTCACTGGGCTTAAAAAATATTTTAAATGTATTTCTCTTCCATTTTTCTTGGATTTGATGTTTTTACAGCCTGATTCAACTATAACCTAAACTCAAAAAAGTAAGCTGACTTGGCTGAAGAGAGAGCTGGGATTCAAAACCAGATTTTCAGGTCCTAGGAACTCTGTACCATAGCTGCCTCCCTATGGAGTCGACTTTCTACAAAAACAGCAAAGTGGTACAGCACACACCTGACAAGTTATAAAACTCTAAATAGAAAAAAAAAATGAAGAATAAGTGTAGAAAAACCAAAACCAATTTTAAATGTCATGTAAGACTTCTATTGGGCATATGAATAGGTCCTTTTTTTTTTTTTTTTTTTTTAATAAGAAGAAAACATTAAGAAAAAACAATTTTAGAGTTATCTGTTAGGCTTTATCCAGATATGGATTTAATTGTCCTAGGTCACAGGTACATGACAGCTATTTTAAAGGGTTATTTTCAACTTGTGCCTGCTTTCTCCTTGCCCTAAACAATAGAGCATATGATTATAATAGGATTATTCTAAATGAATTTTCACCACAAATAATATCCATGCAAAGCTCTGCTAAGACAAAATCCTCTCATCATGTATTATTCCAGCACAGAAAAATAAAACAGAAGGACAGATAGAAAGACACATAGATAGATAGACAGACAGATAGATAGATAGATAGATAGATAGATAGATAGATAGATAGATAGATACATACATACATACATACATACATACATAGACAGACAGATGACATTTGTGGGAATGTAACTTCTTAAAACCTTGCCTATGTCATTAACTCCTAAAATTTACCCATTTGATCCAAACACACAGAATAAGAACAGTACAAGAAGGGAACGGTTAGGTTAGTGCAAAAGTAATTGCGGTCTTTACCATTACTTTCAAAGGCAAAAACCACATCTACTTTGCAGCAACCTAATAGTTCTTAAGTCCAACCCTTTCCCTCTTTGTCTTTCCTTTTGCTCCATTACATCTGTGCTACCACTGAAAATAACAATGATGTTAAACTCTTCCTCTCTACCCTTGTTGCTTTCTCTCTTTCATTTGGCATGGTCTTTCTTTCCAAACATAAAATATGTGAACAATTGTCTCTGTTCTTCTGTCCCACACTGCCCAAGGTATCTTACTGCTATCATGCTCTGTTTTAAGAATGTAGCACATTAACACAAAGAAAATGATTAAAACACTGAACTCTCTAAATGCCCCCAAGGCCTGGCCCACTTTTAGCAGACAAGTAAAAGTCACGCATCAGTAACTCCTACAACTTCTCTGATGGTAAGTCAACATCCCTGATTCACAGAGGTGCAGGTGAGGGTACAGGTAAGCACCCATGTCTGTGCAAAAGAGTTCTGTTTCTGATCAGTCTTTGAATCTGTGAAGTCAGGAGGCAGCCGAAGATCATAAAGAAAGTCCTTCAGATCAAGAAAGTGAGGCTTGGATTTTAGACCTGAAACATTCTGACTACTCTTCACGTTTTTCTCAATTTTATTCATTCAGGAAAAGCAGAAAAGATTCTAAATGAATGAGAAAAACAAACAAACGAACATTTTCTCAGGTTTTCACTATGGCTCCAGGGCATAGAATAAAAATAGCATATATTGTAGGGGGCTAATACTTAAGAAACGTAGATCTCGTCACTCAGAGAGCAGGGTGCCCATCAGTGGAGAATGCTAAGAAAAAATGCAAAGGGGGGAAGCTTGAATACTTGCTGAATATTGCATTTTAATAGCTTTTTTGAGCATGTGGGTGTCTAGACAAGAAATGACATTACCAATGTAGACAATGTTAGGTTCTGCCTTTGGCACATATTTACTTCAAAGGTACCTGTTATTTTAAATAATTTTTATAATGTTAATAGAGTTTCTTTTGGCAAATGTATTGTTACTTGTGTTTCTCAAATCCCTTGCACAGAATCT